AGCAGTAGTCAAAACATGAAGAAAATCAATGTGTGAATATCTGTTGATGTGGTGTGTAGCTAAAACATTCTGACATGACATTAAGCATAAGAAAATATGACTATGATGATGGTCAAACACGTCATAACAATAATATTAAACATTCAGTCTCCTACCAATCAACTTTCTGTCTAGTTATACTTGAACCTGAACAACCTGGAGTACCCCATGAGAATGACGAAGCATTTAACAGCCTGAGCTAGAAATCCTGTCTACTCTAAACATTTCTAATACATAAAATATCTAACCAATATCTAACTAAAAATACCTAACAATGGGGAGGCGACAGTGGTGCGTTGGGTAGAGCAGTCGTCTCCCAACCAGAAGGTTTAATCTCGATGCCAGCAGTCCATGTGTTGAAGTGTCCTTGGGCAAGACACTGAACCCCCATTGCCCCCGATGGTGAGAGTCATCGGTTGAGGTGGCGCTGCAAATGGCTGCTATCGGTTCTGTACCGGAAACAAATTCCTTGTGTGTAACATACTTGGCCAATAAAGGTGATTATCATTTATCCTAAATACATTCCAGTCTGTACAGTCAAAAGCAGCCCTGTAGCTCGGACTTACCCTCCTCAGTCCAGCTCTTCACTGTTTTGACTACAGGCTTCGCAGCTTTAAATTTCTGCCTGTAGGTTGTGTAATGCCCCAGCTCTTTAATTGGACAGCTCTGAATAACGAAGGAGTCTGTCTTTCTTCATTTAGTTCTGATTTATTTTAACCACAAGTAAAAATTACAAACACGACCCGGGTTGCTCCCCCTTCCAGAGACACACAGACAGGCTGCAGGAAAGTCAAATCAAATTTTATTTGTATAGCACCAAATCACAACAAAAGTCATCTCAGGACACTTTACAAAGTAAGGTCTAGACCTTACTGTTATCACTATTATTACAGAGGGAAAACCCAACAAATCCCCCTTGAGCAAGCACTTGGTGACAGTGGGGAGGAAAAACTCCCTTTAACACATTAAGGTCCAACAATTACTAATATCTAACAGTTGGAATAAGATGGACCATACAGTGATCAGAGAGTCCGAGGGCTGTGCACGGGACAGAGTGATAGGCGTCTAAAGTTGTGTAGCAGTGTTCCAGTGTGATTTTGTCTCTGGTGGGACAGGTGATGTGCTTTCTGTATTTGGGTAGTTTGTGGTTGAGATTTGCTCTGTTCAAGTCCCCTATCACAATGAGTGGAGAGTCAGGATGTTCTAGCTCCAGGCTAGTTACCAGTTCTGCTAGGAGCTGCAGTGCAGTAGTGTGGACCTGTGGTCTTATATACAGTGTGATTAGAATGAAAGAGTTATATAGCACATTCATACACAAAAGGCACAAAGTGCTTAACAATGCACACAAATAGATAAAACATTAAAATGCCTATCTTGCATAAAACGGGAATTTGGAAGTCTGTGAGGTCTTTGAAGCTCTGTTGGTGAACAGTAGAAATTGCATCATCATCAGTAAAATTCAACTCTTGCCTCCAAGTAATCAAATATACATGTTCTTGTTATTACCTGGAACAGTAATGAGCAAAATTACTCTTTAAAAATGACTGCCTGCATGAAAAATGTTTTTTAAATTTGGTTTTGGTTATTTTCTACAGAACCTGAGATCTGATGCTTCCCACCATCACTATGGAAATAGAGGCCAGTCACATGCTGGAGGCGGCACTGGAGCAGATGGATGGCATCATCGCTGGTAAGAGCTACCAAATTAGGCTAGGATTCACTTGTGGACAATATGTCAGGATCGGCGCGTGATGCTGCCGAATATGTCGTGGGTGAACTCAATTAAATGGCCAGACGAGGATATGTGCAACAAAACCATCTCTTTAATAAGAGCACTAATGCTGAACAGAAAAACCAAGACAAGACACGGTGTAACACAAAACGCACTTACGGGTTGGTATAACAGTCCAAGGTCAGAGCCAGCAAAGGAATCCAAAATGTGTTGTCCAAAGGGAAGTCTGATAAATCATACACAGTAGGCAGTCCAAAGTTAGAGGGTAAGGCAGAATAGAATTATCAAAGTACACAATCCAGGTCAAACACAGGAAATACCAAAACCAAAAAATGCTGGAGAGTGAGAGCTGGAATTTAGAACAATCTGACAGTGTCCTGATAGGAGGACGCTGCCTAAATAGAGGTGAAAACAGGTGCAAACAATAAGGAGCAGGTGAAACTAATGTGAGTGCTGATTAAAGTAAAAAGACCGAAACTGTGGTGAAACAAAACAGGAAATAATGTCAAAATAAAAGCACGACAGGAAGCAGCGGAACCGAATCATGACACAATATTTATTATACCAAGAACCTGAACCAGAAAAATATCTATTGTAGAATTTAATACAAATGAGAAATTATACAGAACTTGTCTTGATGGATGTCACCTACTGCAAGTTGAAACTTTGGGACAATATCTGCAACATAAAATTGAAAAATATATACTTTAGTGAGAATATAGAACCAAAATATAGTAGTTTATTAGTTACTGTAGATTTTTCAGCTATATTCTGCCTCACAGCATGTTATAGCTTATGCAGCTTAGCAGATAGCTAACAATCAGTATGAAGAAAGAAGGGGCGTAGAAAAGTTCCTGTTGAGGACTCTCTCCACTTCCTCAGCTTTATTTCTCTACAATCACTTTGTTACACTTTCTCTTTCCTTTTCTTTGTAAGACTGAAAATAAAACAGAAATAAACATCACTCAAAGTTGTCTGTAACAACACAGTTGCACCAACGAACTAAACTTCTCATCTATATAAATACCAGTAACTAACACTACATTTAGTTACTTTAACTAACACAACAGATCATCACTCTCACGGCAAAACGTCATTAAACACACCTAACAAACACAATGTTAAGTAAATTAAATCCTCTCAAATAAACCGTAATACTACTTACAGTCAAAGACTTAACGTAGATCCAAAGGAGAGGCAACCTGTGACTGTTTTCATGCCAGACTTACTAGTGGTGTGTTTCACTAAACATGTCCCACTGAAACCAACAACAAACTCCGTGGGGGGAAAAATGTGCATCACTGAAATGGGTCCTGCTGGAAAACCATAACAGCTCCGCAGGGCGGAACAGTTATATTGTATGTATCCATTATCAGCTGTGAATATGCACTTAATGAAGAATTGTGGAACAATGAGATCAATCAACATCAAACTCAAAAATCCAGGTATTTGAGGACATTTTATTGAATGACAACATTCTTAGGATGGAATTAGAATTAGCACAGAGAATACAATTGGAATTCTGTGTTAATATCCCCTTAGTATTTGTTCACATGTATTTTATGTTTTAGGCAGTAAATATTTTTGACTATGAAGTCTCAGACCCTGCTGGCCCTCCAAAAACTACAAGTTTGATATTTTTCTGGTAACAAAAGTGGTAAAATAGTGTACCTGTGACACTGCTGCATTTTGTGTGTTAATATGTGTGTGTTAGTAAATGTACACATTTGTGTGTGCTTTCTCCTTCCCACACAGAGGGAAGGAGAGAGAGAGAGAGAGAGAGAGAGAGAGAGAGAGAGAGAGAGAGAGAGGTGCAGATTCTTCAGAATGAAGAAGTGACTGATACAGTAAAAGTAGTCCTTAAATTTGTGGGTCCACCAAAAAGAGGGCATATTTATTTGACCTTATGCAATGTTTTACCATACATAATAGGAGTGACACGCTTTCACATCCAAAGAATCACATGCACATTATTTGGCTAGTTTCCCTGCATCGAGGGTGTGCGCCCTCAGAACCTGCGTATCACATTTTTGCATATAGCAGATGTGTACATGTACTGTACAACTGTCATAACTGAAGCTGATCAGGTTGCTGCTGTCTGACAAAAACGCACTAATCTCATGGAGCGCTCTGTTTGCTATGCAGCTCTCAGTGACCACAAAGAGAAATACAGTAAAAATCCCATTACTGATGACATTAGCTAATCACTAACAAGAAAACTAGAGCCACTTATCAATAGAGTTTAGATATGTTGGTCATATTGTGTTCTGTGATTAAGAGTTTGTCTTTCTGCTAAGCATCTTGTGGGAATAGCAGTGGAAGCTAAGCCAAGATGAACTGATTCTAAACAGTGAGTACTGTGTACCCCAGTGGATAGCGGATGTTTGAGGCCAGTGCTAACATAGATACTTGACAATTTTAAATTGTAATAGTTTGATAATTATTTCCTCACATAAACATATTGTGTAAACTAAAATCTTATGTTTATGTGATTGGCGGTTCAATCCCCAGCTTCTCATGTTGAACCCTAACAGTTGTGTTAGATCTGTGTTAGAGGTGGAGGTAGTTTGTATCTAGACAGAGTTGATAGTGCATGAATAATGTTTAAAACTGTGTGCTGTGGCCCAAATGCACCAGTGAATAGGAAGACTTGTTCATGTTTCGTTTATTTCTCTGTTCATACTGGACATGCTCACTTCTCCTCCACCAGCTGGATGTTATTTGTTTCTATGATGTGCAGTAAATGGAGCAGTAAGCCACTGCACAGGCCTGCTGTCCTACTCCATCCTTAGAGATTCAACATTTCCAAATGTTCCCACAGATAGTGCTAAATAATGTCTAATAACTGTACAACAATTATTCAATGATTAGTATATAACCAAACAAAAAAGCCACTTTACACTTTACAATGACAAAACTACGTATTGAAAGACCTTTTCCTTCCTCTGCCTACCTTCACAACCATGATAGTTTTAATTCTTCACTTACTTTTTGGATTTTGTTGTGCAGAGGCTGCTTCAAGGCATTGAAGCTAAGGTTGTTTTCATTCTGTGCTGTTTTACTGAGTTTGGAATCAGTATACGATATACAGGCACTGTAATGTGTGGCTGTTCAGAGCCATGAGTTCACCCAGATGTGCACAGAGAAATGATCCAGGTGACACATGGACATTTTGGAAGCAATCAGGAAGGTGTATGGCTCAGATTATTTTTTTCTTTTTCCACTATTCAAGGCGTCATTATAGGGCTTCTCTCAATTTGTTGGTAATGTACTGAATAGATTACCTTTGTATTTCAGTTGTATATAATGTTATTAATAATCTTTCTGTAACAGTAATTAATTGCCTCTTCTCTCCTCCCCCTCCTTCTTCCAGGTTCAAAAGCAGCAGCAGTGGAGTTTTCTAACAGCATGTATGACCTGGGTTCTCCCATCAGTGCTGGTCCACTGCAGGTTGTTCAGTTAGCTGAGGACCTGAAGCTGGCCTTGGAGCTCCAACCCAACCAGGAGGAGAGAGACAGCCTCAGAGCACAGTTACCAACAGAAACGGCACGTGCTCTCATAGACTGGCTCCAGAGTGGAACAGTATGTATATAGTGTGCTTTAATTCAAATGCATCATATTAAAACTGATGGCATTTTGTCTTATTTGTCATTTCAAGATAATTATTTTCTGCAGGGTAGTGCTAAAAATATCCAAATGTGGCCACATTGAATGTAAATGAAACAGTTTATCTATATATCAAGCTACATCCTGTTATTATTTAGTCCAAATTTAAATGAGCAGTCAAAAAGAAATTGATTCTAGTTTGCATAGTATTATATCAGCATGGTGGAATATCTCTGCTTTTTTGCCATGTTTGACCATCTGTGGTGTTTGTTGCCCTTAAAAACAGAAGAAAAGAAAAACAGTTGTAGTTATTTATAAATGTATTATTTATGTTTCAGGGGTAGAGAGTTTATAGAGCCACTCATTTGAAATTTGCAGTGAATCTCTCACTGTCCTATGAGATTACACAGCTGGGTAAGAAATCGCACTCTGCACTCAGTGTGTACATCTATGTGATTAAAAGTTGTTCACTCACACTCGGAATGGGATGTCTTGCCTAGTGGTGCACAAATTACATACTGTAGCTATATTCGTTGTGATGTTTTTTAAGTGGACTTTGACAAGTGGAGTCAGACATGCAACCTGCTAACCAAATGAACCAGCTGTTTTATGTTGAACAGCTTCTTTTGGTGTATCCACCAAGATTTCTCTTGGCGGTGGTGCTGTGGTGCACATGCCCATGAGCATGTATCACACATGCTTTATGCACGTCAGTTGTTGAAAAGCTTAAAAAGACTTTAGAATTGTTAGTGATAGAATTATTCATGCATTTACACATAGAAACCCTCCATCAGCGGACTGAAGGACTATAGACCTGTCACCCTGACATCTGTAGTTATGAAGTCCTTTGAAAGACTGGTGTTGTCCCACCTGAAGGACATCGTAGACCCCCTGTTAGACCCCCTGCAGTTCGCCTACCGGGCAAACAGGTCAGTGGATGATACAGTGAACATGGCACTGCATTACATCCTGCAACACCTCAACTCCCCAGGGACCTATGCACGGGCCCTCTTTGTGGACTTCAGCTCGGCTTTCAACACCATCATCTGACCCAGCTCACTGTGCCTGCCCCCACCTGTCAGTGGATTACTAGCTTTCTGACAGACAGGAAGCAGCAGGTGAGGCTGGGGAAAACCACATCCAGCACCCGTTGAGCAGCTGGTCCTGTGGTGTAGCCGCAAAAACCTGGAGCTGAACATGCTCAGAACAGTGGAGATGACAGTGGACTTCAGGAGGAGAAACCCTACACCTCACGGGTCAAAAGGAGGGCAGAAAAGATTTCTGCAGTTCCTGGACACAAACTGTTTGAACTTCTCCCCTCTGAACAGCACTACACGTCACTGTACACCAAAACAACCAGACATAAGGACAGTTTTTTCCCCCGGGCCATCATACTGATGAACAGTTAACCCATGAATGTATAACAGAACAACAACCCTCAGTGCAATAACTTGTAAATATACTTTTGTACATCTTTCTGTCAGATAACGCACCACTTCTGGACAAAATAACTGAAATCACTCCCTTCCTGTAACCATCAGTGAGTTTCTTCCACCTCTCTACTGGAGTTTTGGACCCCTCTTCTTTTGCCAGCTGCTCCAGGTCTCTCAGATTTAAAGGGTTCCTTCTCCCAGCTGCTGTTTTGAGATTTCTCCACAGGTGCTCTATGGGATTTAGATCTAGACTCATTGCTGGCCACTTCACAACTCTCCAGCACATTGTCTGAAACCATTTCTGGTGCTTTTTGAAGTCTGCTTTGGGTCATTGTCCTGCTGTAAGACCATGACCTCTGACAGAGACCCAACTTTCTGACACTGGGCCCTAAATTGTGCCCCAGAATTTATTGCTAGGCTTCAGATTTCATAATGTCGTACACACAGTCAAGACATCCAGTGGCTGAAGCAGCAGAACAAACCCAAAACATCAGTGAACCTTCACCATGTTTGACTGCTACTCTTCACCATCCCTCTGCTTTCTGACATGAGTGAATTTGTAAATGACGCGGTTAGTGTAGCAGTTAGAAACACAAGTCTCTGCAAAGAGGACTGAAACGCTCGGGACTGTTAAGGTAAGGTGAAATTCCTCAAACATGGCACAGGAATTGTATATTTTTTGGGGTGTTTGGCTGTTTAACATGAGTGAATTTGATGCTTTACTTTGTAATGAAAGCTGTTGTTAGACTTGGTTTTATGAGACTTTTTGTTGCTGTTGCTGGGTTTTGTCCTGTAGAGACTGCTGTCATCTGTCCAGAAAGCAGTATAGAGTTTTACACAATGATTGAGATGGTTGAAGCTAAAAGGGAAAATGGGCCTTGGATCCAGTTCAGCTGCTTTTTCAGCTCTTACATTGTTTCAACAGCAGATGTCTCACATGTTGCACACAGTTACTGGCCAACCCTCTCTCCCTCTTTACTTCCTCTCCTTGTTTGTCACTTTGACTCCTCCAACCCCCACCCCTCTCTCTCTCGCTCACTCTTCTGTTCCTCTACTATGCTATCGTGCTGTCCCAGTTTAATTCTGTGGAATCAGATTGTTTCGTCTTTATTGATTTATTTGTTGAGAAGTTGATTGAATAGTTGACTGAAAAGGAGCTGACATGTTCTGAACCAGTTCTATGGAGGCCATTAATCAGCTTGAGTGCCTGTGTCATTCCCCTGAAGCAATATTTCAACTTAAATGTAACTTATTTTATTTATACTAGCTGAACATCACTGTAATCATTTATACAGACCTGAACGGCTTTGACAGCCAGTAATAAATACTCACAGGTTTTAATTGTTGCAGATTTTTTCTCAAAAATACCCAGATGTTTTTTAAATGAGCAAATCGGTTTTCCATAAATATTCAGGCAAATCCATGAATGTATGTCTCCGCACATGCTGTACATGTTCACATCTGTTCACCAGAGGTTATAGGAAATAAGTGCAACTCAGAAAATACATACATAGAGTAGCAAGTGATAAGAAAAATGCAAAAAGTTTTAAAATGAGTTCAATTAGGTTGTTTAAGTGGACGGACTTGCTGGTCTTCAGTGAATGCTTTAATTAGAGAGTTGACAGTTGAGCGGTGAAAGCGGAGGAGGAATGACCAGGAGCAGTGATCCACAGCCTGACTCAGTCTGGACAAGTTGTCATCCCCAGGACAACCCATCCACAAACATTGTTCTTACTAGTCTGAATACAAACCCCAGTGTCATCAGTTACTAAAAGGACCGTTTCTTCAGTGGAAAGTAGTGTAAACTGATCCTGTGGTCTGTGAATTTCAGTAGCAGATGAACAAAAGCCTGGCAGATTATCAGAGCAGCTAATATTAAAGGTTGGCTGCTCCGTCTTGTCCTCTTCCTGTTCACGTTCTCCCCTTCCTGCTCCTCCCTGCTGACCCAGAGGAACAGGATCAAAGATGCTCATGCCATGCAATTAGCCTTTACCCTGCAGGCTTCTCTCCAGAGCATGGTGAAACATGCACTCACATATACACAAATAATGTAAACACAGGAAGCATTATAATGTAAGTGTGTGCTGGCAGGAAGCTGTGGTATCATGTCTTCCGATGGCCCTGTATTTCTAACTCAGCTGAAGATTTTTAGGTTGGAATTTTCTCAAAACTAGCAACAGAATGTTTTGTCTGTTAGACAGAAAAAGACATTTTGTTAAAGTAGCACTGAGGGTCAGCAGAGAGGGACATTTTTAAATCTCACACAAGGTGGCATCATATCTGCATTTGTTGCCATGTATTGATTATTTATAATTATTATTGATCATTACTTAGTCAAAGCTATGGTCTTTCTGCCTTCTCAGCTTATAAAAGGTGACCACAGACCCTAAATAAATCTTTAAGTCAGTTTTGTTTGATATTTTAAACATGACTGAAAGATCAGTAAATCGAAGCACTGACTGCAACAAGTTGTAACACTGACACACTGTTGGTAGTGACGAGGCAGTAGGAAATAAAGGCTAAGAGTGGCACACTGTCATCTCATATCATTGACACTGCTAACGTGTTAGCAAACAGCTAGCTATTTACACATGCCACCTACACAGAGCGCATTCTGATTCAGTTGGAGTGTTTCAGCTAGCTGAATGCTTCACTTGTATAGCAGGCCAACTGCTAACTTTGTCTGCAGTTCAGTGCTTGTACTGTGGGTTTATCTGAGTTTTGTTTTGTTTATTTGGAAACAGCCCCTGGCTGCCTGTGGAAACTAGGCTGATGAGAGAAAAACAGTAAAGTTGCTCGCCTTAAAACCCAAACGATGAGCTGAAAGATGGAAGGGAAACTGCAGAATTGGGTCATAATTTTAAATTTTTTCTATGTAACCCCCTTCACTTTAGACAGGGTCATTTGATTTATTAACAATATAAAAATGTTCAGTGCAGCTTTTGGCACTTAAAGTTCTAAATATAGCAAAATTTAAAGGACTTCAAATTTATCATTGACTTTCAGTACTGCTTTCAGATCCTGACAGACCAAGAGCCAAACTCTTCTTGCACACGTGTATCCGCACACCTGCATGTACTACATTAGGCATCTGCATATGTAGTAGATGTGTTCCACACATATGCAGCTGATGCATTTTAAGGCATGGACAGACCATGTGCTCATACATTTAGAGTGGCTTACGGAAATGGCCATGTTGTATGTACTGTACATCACAGAGAAATATTTAGTTGTATTTTAATATTTAATTTGTAAACACACATTAATGCACTTTAATGGAGTCTAACAGTTTTGTGTACAACTTTTGGATACACTTTAAACAGTCATTTAAGTGGATAAAAGAATCTGTCATTCAGACAAATGTCTGACAGTGTTGTTATGGTGAAGAGTTTTGTAAGATACCCTAAGGTAGTAGGTTTAAACATGAAGATGGTCTGACACACAGAGACGGATGGACAGATCGAGAGAGACACAGGGAGGGAAAGGTACAAGGCTATAATTTAATTAAGAGGGAGTACAAACAACCAGGACACAGCTCTGGCA